AACATGAAGAAAAAAAAAGGATATTTCTGTTCCTCATTTCCGAACTCATTACATAACACTGAGGAAAATAGCAAAAACAAACTGACATTGATATAACAATGACAAACTATACTGCAAGTGAAGATATATATTAAAGATATATATTACCTGTAAGAATTCTGGTTGTCTGTCTGCCTTGGCGCCTTCATCCCTATAGCAGACAGCAAACTGGAAGTACCTCTCAAACCCTCCAATCATTGCTAGCTGCTTGTACGTCTGGGGACTTTGGACCAGGGAGTAAAATTTGCCTGGAAGTCTGGTGGGCACAATGAATTCTTGTGCTCCCTGAAATGATGATCTGTTTATCATTTAATAAGCTGATTACATACAGCTGTATTTTCATAATGCTGTCTACCAAACTGCTTATGTACAAGAATGACAACTTTTATACAAATGCTACCGTTTAACTGCCTTATCAAAATCTGATTCCTTCTCAGAAATATGAAAAATCTACTTAAAATTATATTACATCTTTCTGACATTTAAACTATGATCAATTTTCTTAAACACACACACACACAACACACATCTGTAAACTATATAAAATAGCCCTTACTCACACCTGGAGTATTGACAGAAAGAGTGGGTGTTGTAATCTCAACAAAGCTTTCTTTGTCTTGTAAATAGTCCCTCATCTTCTTTGCTACCTGTTAAAATTTATGAAAAAAGAAAAAGAAAAAAAATATGAAACAAATTTCAAAACGTAAAACAATCTTTCCCGTATCATTTACAAGGTACAAATAAAAAATATTTCAAGAGATACAGATGTTATTAAAAATAGGATAATATAAAAAGAAGAAGAAAAAAATATATATACCTTTGACCTCAATCTCAGATTCTTCTGCATTTCTGCGTGCCGCAGGTCCAAATATCGGTATTTCAGTCTAAGGTTCTCCTTGGGCTGAAAGATATAACAATTCAGTCTCAACATATACAGGGTAAATGCATGAACGCCATAAAAATCATATAATACTACCATATTATTCAAAATTAGTAATTTTGGTAACTGAGGAAAAATTTATATTCTTTCAATATCAGCCAGAGATATATTACATAAAACCACTGATTTATCATCATTACTCTAGCATACCTTGTTGTAATCACGTATCAAATATGGAAGGTTTGGACGTGCTGCACTAAGAACTTTTATGTCATCTGCAAGAACCTCGATCTCCCCTGTTGGCATGTTCTACGAATTGGAAAACTGAACATTATGACTGTATATCTCAGGTACTTATTGAGAGTAAATAACACTAGGAAATATCATAAGATTTTAATATTCTCAGTTTTGGGCTATAATGCTATCACATTATCCATGCGTATGCTGTGTGTATTCATCAACATTAGTACAAGCAATAACAATTTTTTTCTGGTGAAAAATTATGTAAGACAGTATATATTTACCTTATTGACCTGATCCTCCGGTCTGCTACAGACTCTGCCCTTAACCTCTATGTATGACTCAAATGTTGTGCTGTTCAGTATTTCTATGAACTTGACATCCTGCAAAGCAAATTCATCAACTCAAATAGAATTACTTAAATTCTAGGACAGAATTCCCACCAGAATTATTCTTATCACACATCCAATTATCTTACCCAAATATGTCTATGTATCTTACTCTGTTCAATATACACTTACATAAACCAGCTCTTACCTCCTCTCTAACAAGGACCTGAGTCTTTCCAGTAAAATCACGCAACACAGCAAATTTCCCCATACGCTGATACTGTAGAAACCCTCGCAGAGTTACTTCTTCTCCTACATTGGCAAGGCAAAGTTCTCCACAGGTATGGGTCTTTAAGGTGAATCCCAACTTTTTCGTACCTAGAATGTGAAAGGCATTGGTGAAAGAAAGGGGTAAAAAAATCATTGATATTTTTCATTACTTCCTCCTGATGGAAAACTATGTTGTCTATACGTAAAAATATTCTATACCTTTTTTTTTCTTGCTTCTGTTTAGTTTTGTACCATAATTGCATAACTTCACAAAACCCACTGCCAATCTATGACAGTCAAATACAGTCACCACTACTGTGATTCTAAATATAATGAAAACAAAACAGAAATGTAAACACATCTGGATATCTTACAGTGATATTAAAATCATTATGTAAATAATTATAAGTCTTTCCAATGAGGGGAACAGCTATCCTTTTAATCTATATAAAATATGATAATGCATAGATTGATAAACTATAGCATGAATTATGTTTGTCTCATAAGAATACTTGTGCTAACACTCTTAAACAAAGATTGTCTAAGCAGTTTGTCAATTTCTATGACACTTTCAATGTCACACTAGATTATGGTAAAGAACTTTAAGTGAAAACATTAAATCAAGATCTCTGAAATAAAAATTCAACCATGTGTTTCTAAATGCTTACTTTCAATATAAAGAATGCAATTTCTAATATTGTGTCTACACACTTTGAATATAAAATAATGAATTTATGTGTTG